GTGGTTGGTTTTAAAAAAAATATATTTTGCCGGGACCGGTTTGGCTCAATGGATAGAGCGTCGGCTTGGGGACTGAAGGGTTCGATTCCGGTCAAGGGCATGTACCTTGGTTGCGGGCATATCCCCGGTAGGGGGTGTGCAAGAGGCAGCTGATCGATGACTCTCTCATTGATCTTTCTAACTATCTCTCTCCCTTCCTCTCTGTACAAAAATCAATAAAATATATTTAAAAAAATAAATAAATAAAAAATAAAATAAAATAAACATTTTTATTGATTTCAGGTAGGGAGAAAGAATTGTTGATTGGCTGCCTCCTGCACAACCCACACTGGGGATTGAGCCCACATCCCGGGCATGTGCCCTGACCAGAAATCGAACAGTTGATGCTCAACCACTGAGCCAAGTGGCCAGGCTATTTTTTGTTTTTTATTTTTTTAACAAGTCAAATGTAATCACTTCTGACTCAAATTAGAGGAGAGAAAGCCATGGCTCAATTATAAACCCTGCGGCAATTACAAAGAAAAATAGAAAGACTCAATTCTCAAAATGCTTATAATTTGTAGAAACTAGTCATGAACACCATGACAACGAAAGTTAAAATTCTTAATTTAGTTTACTGGAGTTGCTAATGTTGTACTGGCACCCATGGAAGCAAAAAGACATCAGTATTCTAAGAAAAACCGTGCTAAATATTTTCAGAAAGATTAAGTAAGCTCTATAAAAGGTTAGTTTCTTAAAATTTTTCAAGTGAAGCCTCCCACTCAACATAGATACCCCTTTTAGAACACAGTTACCATTCATTCCATTTCTGTTTAAAGCTTCCTATGTCAAAAGTCTTATAAGTAGTCCATTCCATTTGTCAAGAACAACCCTAATTGTTAAAGTTCTTCCTTACAGGACTTGTATACATGCATATAAGTACAACCAATGGACATAAAACTCTGGGGAGGGAGGGTATGTATAGGAGGGAGGGAGGGGGACAAAAAAAATCAATAAAATATATTTTAAAAAAATAAAATAATAAAATAAATAAATAAAGTTCTTCCTTACATTAAACTAATATCTAATTTCCTACAATTTTCAATCATTAGTTGACTTGTCCCAGTTCTGTCCTCTGGAACAACAGGTGTTTTTTTTAATGATTTTCATCTACTATAATGAACCTTTCCCTCTTAGATCTTTTCAAAACTAAACCTCTCAATTCCAAAAATGGCTTCTACACCCTCATTATTCTAATTATTCTCCTCTGAAGAAATTCTAGCTTTTCAATGTGCCTCTTAGAATTCAAATACCCACCCTGAACACAAAAATTCCAGATCTGAGACTGGTTTGGCTCAATGGATAGAGCGTCAACTTGGGGACTGAAGGGTCCCGGGTTCGATTCTGGTCAAGGGCATGTAACTTGGTTGCGGGCATATCCCCAGTAGGGGGTGTGCAAGAGGCAGCTGATCAATGACTCTCTCTCATCGATGTTTCTAACTACCTCTCTCCCTTTCCCTCTGTACAAAATCAATAAAATATATATTTTTTTAAAAATCCAGATCTTATCTGACTAGTGCTATTATCCCCTTTGTCTGGGTCACCATGAGTATAACAATACTCATGTGCCAGGCTGTTTACAATCCATTGCCAAATTAGTGACACTGTTAAGATCATAAGTAATTTGATTTAAGAGTTTAAAGAGGCGGAAACCGGTTTGGCTCAGTGGATAGAGCATCGGCCTGTGGACTGAAAGGTCCCGGGTTTGTTTTGCTTTTTTTTAAAATATATTTTATTGCCGAAGCCGGTTTGGCTCAGTGGTAGAACATCAGCCTGCGGACTGAAAGGTCCCAGGTTCGATTCCGGTCAAGGGCATGTACATTGGTTGCGGGCATATTCCTGGTAGGGGGTGTGCAAGAGGCAGCTGTTCGATGTTTCTCTCTCCTCGACGTTTCTAGCTCTCTATATCTCTCTCTCTTCCTCTCTGTAAAAAATCAATAAAATATATTTTTTTAAAAATTAAAAATAAATAAATAAATATATTTTATTGATTTTTTTTTTTTTTGAAGAGAGAGGGATAGAGAGTTAGAAACATCAATGAGAGAGAATCATCGATCAGCTGCCTCTTGCACACCCCCTACTGAGGATGTGCCTGCAACCAAGGTACATGCCCTTGACCGGAATCGAACCCGGGACCTTTCAGTCCGAAGGATGACGCTCTATTCATTGAGCCAAACCAGCTTTAGCAGGTCCCAGATTTGATTCCGGTCAAGGGCATGTACCTTGGTTGAGGGCACATCCCCCTGGTGGGGGGTGTGCAGGAGGCAGCTGATCGATAATTCTCTCAGCGATGTTTCTAACTCTCTATCCCTCTCTCTTCCACTCTGTGAAAAATCAATTAAAAAAAAAAAAAAAAATATATATATATATATATATATATATATATATATATATTTTTTATTTTTTTAAGATGATTGAGGAATTGAGGGAGTTTTCAATAGACACTGTAGACTATAAGCTGGGAAAGGGAGCATACATTTAAGATAAACAGAAAATACAGAAAGAAAACAATTTCAGGGTTATAAATAAATACAGAGCAGGGCAGAGACAGGGATGAACCAAGTTAGTACTAGAGCAAAGTACCTACGATACGCAATAACATAGAGCCAAAAAGCAGAGCAGGAGTCATACTACTTGTATTGTGAGCCCTTAACCTACATAACTAAAGGGTTAGATCAAGAAATTGAGTCCTAGCTGGTTTGGCTCAGTAGGTAAAGCATTGGCCTGCGGACAAAGGGCCCCAGGTTCAATTCCAGTCAAGGGCACATACCTTAGCTGCAAGCTCCTCCCAGGCCGGGGCTGCGTGCAGGAGGCAACCAATCAATGTTGTCTCTCACATTGATGTTTCTCTCTCTCTCTCTCTCTCTTTCTCTCTCTCTCTCTCTCTGTCTCTGTCTCTGTCTCTTCCACTATCTCTAAAAATCAATGGAAATATATCCTCAGGTGAGGATTAACAGAAAAAGAAAATGAACTGTTAGTTGAGATGGTCAGGGTGATAAAAATCACTATCAGTTTGCCAATGTCTACATCAAATCAATGACTGTGTGAAATTTCACTTCAATGAAAAAATTTCTAATTCAGTTCTACTCTAACATGAACAGAAATTGAGTTGTTCTACAATATCATCACACAGTCTTCTTTCAGAACATGAACAACATTCTTAACTGCCAAAATGTCATTTTAGAAAGATTTCTTTTCATCCATTTTTATAGATTTCCCCAGAATGAATAATTTGCCATTTAACATGAATACTTCTAATCAAAGTAGCTGCTTGTTTCAGTAATTAATAATCTTCAGGATCTCCATTCAAAAGACAATGACCTGCTGGTCTCCCTCCAATTCCCCAGGTCAAAAAAAAAAAATTGAAATTTGACTAATGAGCATTAAAAGATGAAGATGTTAAACAGCAGAATTTCTAGGCATGAACGCTGTCCAATATTACAACAAATAAAAATAACAGCTGCTCCATCTCTGAAGTGATTTAAATTCAATTAAATAGGATTTTCTTGTTTACTATTGCTCCTGCCTAAAGACTCTTTCATAAAGACTAGCTCTGCAATATGATGTGTCCAAGAGATAGTGCAAAATCCTACCTCTCCCAAATCCTGCTACTCAACAGCAGGGATCTAAAGGAATAGATTCCCAGCTGCTGAGAGGAATGTCTTACTAAAAGCAAAGCAAAATTCTCATTAATGAAAAACCACCCATGAAAGAAAAAAATTCTGTGTGTCTCATAATCCCCGGAAATAGCCAAATCCATTTTGGGTTAATGCAGGTTTAACAAAACAGCGCAAGTGAAAAGACAGGAGCAGTTCCGTTTGCCAGCAGCTGAGAGAAAACACTTATCAGAGAGATCACAAACAATGCTTCTGTTCCACAGAGCCAAACTCCAACTCGAACTCTCAATAAAAGATTCACCCAGGAAAAGGCTCTTTTGGATAAATTCTCTCTCACACTCACAAGCCACCTTACCCCATCTTGTTCAGCACAGGTTATAACAGGCTGTAACTTAAATTCCCCAAGATCAAATTCAACAGGTAATCCAATCCTGCTTTTTTCTGGTCAGATTCCCTCTTAAAAAGCACAGTCCTTGCATCCATTCAAAACCAGCTTAGACCTTGTATGTCCAGCACAGAAAAATACAAACACCTGTAAGAAAAAGTCTCTACCTTCCTGGAGCTTAGTCCATGCACTTTGCTTCATATGAACCCCAAAACTCTTGCCTTGAAATACCTTCTTAAAGATGGAGCAAGTGTCCTCCGTTAAAAAGCAATAAAGGCCCTTCATCTTTAATAGTTTACTATGACAGGAGCAAAACAAATCAATCAGTTCATCAATCACTTCCTATGCTCTGCTCAGGAAGGAGAATCCAACACGCCTTTGCAAGTCCACTGTGAGCAAAGCCTTATCCTCGATTACAGGGAAGGAGCAGGGGACAAGACAAGCAATAGAGGGAGTGCAAGCCAAGAAATAGGACGGAAGAAGGGGGGATGTGACAGCTGTCCCATAACGTATTCAAATATTTTTTTCTAAAAAAAGAAAAAGAATCTGCTCCTAAGCGACTGCAGTTTGAACAGTGCAAGGAGGAGAAAGGAAAGAAGAATGGGAGACTGCCCACTATCGACAGGCACCAACTATTATTCCCGGTCTCCTTCCTCCCTCGGTCCACGCTCATTGGGGAGCGTGCCGGTCACTGTTTGTCTAATAGGATCTGGGCCTGTCACATGGCCATTGACATGGAGAGGTAGCAGCCTCTCCACGGGAGCCTGAGGAAAAGCAGGCGTGGAAAGAACTCTCCAAATGCTTGTGAATAAGTTCACACGATCGTCCCCCGAGGCACCGACGGGAAGTGAAGTTTGGAAAGGATGGGGTACCCCGACGTCCACCGGAGGCGTGTGGGGACCTCTCAGCTCCCCGGCCCTACCCCACCCCAACCCCAGCCCCTCGGAGCGTGCACTCACCGCGCACGCAGAGCAAGGACATGGCCGAGGTGCGGGCGGGCGAGCCGCCGCCGCGCCGCCGCCGCACCCTCTTTCCTTTCAGCAGGTGCCGCGGCCGCTCCCGCACTCCGCCCGGCGAGTCCGGCCGCTCTTCATGGTCCCCGCTGCGGGCAGCGCTCCGCCGCTCCCTCGGGCCCGCTCCAGTCCTCACCGTCTGAGGGGGTTCTCGATAATGGTGAGTACCGGCCGGCGGGCGGGGTACTGGGCGCGGCAGCACGGCGCCATCGCTGGGAGAAAGGAGCGACCGGGACTCCCTCCCTCCACTCCACCCCACCGGGATCCGAGCGGGCGCCGGACAGAACCACGCGCGGCGTCCCGCCTCCCAGCCAATCAGCTCGCGCCCAGTCCACCAGCCCCGCCCCCACACGAGCACGTAGGGGGCGGGGCCTCCCTCTGCCTTCGGGGCGGACCTCCCTCTGCCCCGAGTGAAGGCGGCGCCGCCACTAAGGAGGCTTAAAGCGGAGAGGGGCGGGCTTCCCACCTGTTGTGAGGCTTGGCATTGAAGCCCTGGGCTCTTCCTTCGCGGGCGGGCTTCCAGCCGAGAACAGGTTCTTTTCATTCAAGATTTTCATTGGACCGAGACCGGTTTTGCTCAATGGATAGAGCGTCGGCTTGGGGACTGAAGGGTCCCGGGTTCGATTCCGGTCAAGGGCATGTACCTTCCGGTCAAGGGCATGTACCTTGGTTGCGGGCATATTCCCAGTAGGGGGTGTGCAAGAGGCAGCTGATCGATGACTCTCTCTCATCAGTGTTTCTAACTCTCTAGCTCTCTCCCTTCCTCTATGTACAAAATCAATAAAATATATTTTTTTAAAAAAGATTTTCATTGGACTTCCTTAAAGGGTCTATGAGCTGATGAAGTACCTACCTGTAATAATTTGACGAGATCGTACCACGCAAGCACTGACGGCGGCCAAGCACTGACGGGGAAGGGGAGAACATGAGTGAGCCTAAGTAAAACTATCTGGAGCCCTCAGTGATCTATATATTTTCTCACGCTCCCCATTTTTGTCTCCAGTGTCTTCATTGTGCCAAGTATATAGGAATTAGTCCATAAATGAGGACTTCTGGCAAGAAGATGGGTGGATGAATGCATGCACATGGGATGGAAGTTGAAAAAGGCCAGAGCAGAAAGCAGAAGACACGTGGTATGGTGTACAATACCCCGCCACCCCAAAATTCTGATTTAATTGGTTTGGGGTAGAACAGTGGCATCCTGTGTTTTTTTTTAAAGCTCCAAAGATGATATACATAGCCCACAGACAAGAATGGTGAAGGCCAGGGGAGAGGTGGTGGGAGATGGGTAGGGATAGGAAAAAGTGGGGGAAATGGGAGACATCTGTAATAGTGTCAACAATAAAAAAATAAAAATAAATAAGCAAAATTTTGATAGTAAGCTATCCATGGTCACACACACACAAAGCTCCCCAGATGATTCTAATATGATGCCAGGTTTTACTACCATTAGACTAGATGCTTTCTAAGGCCTCATTAGCCCAGATCAGGTTTCAGTGTTTGCAAGCTTTCAGCCCCATAGGATTCCTCCTGCCAGACCCAGGCAGAGTCTGTCAATCTACCAGAGCCCTGGTCAGCAAACTGTGGCTCTTTGGCCCCTTGAGTGTGGCTCTTCCACAAAATACCATGGCCTGGGCAAGTCTATTTTGAAGAAGTGGCATTAGAAGAAGTTTAAGTTTAAAAAATTGGGCTCTCAAATTTTAATCATACTGTTGATATTTGGCTCTGTTGACTAATGAGTTTGCCAACCACTGTACCAGGGTGTTTGCCTTCCAAAAGCAAACCTAGCTACCATATGATTCCTCTCACTGGAATTGGTGCTCTGAGAGACCGACACTAGAAGCCTTAAGGAGGAAAGGATAAGACTTGATCTTTCCACTGTGTATCCAGATTCGGAGCAATATACACAAACATTTTAAACAGGGCAACTCAGGCAGCCTCATCAACAGAAATACCTGACCCTAAAATGATGGGCAGGTTGGAATATCTAGCTATTTAGCCCAACTTTCGTAAACCACAAGAGCATGAAACTAATAAATAAATAAATAAATAAATAAATAAATAAATAAATAAAAGTGTTAAACTTCTGGGCTCTGGAACCAGAAATTCTCTTAGGGCAGTGGTCGGCAAACTGGGGCTCTTGAGCCACTGTTTGCTGCTCTGTTGACTAATGAGTTTGCCGACCTCTGTCCTAGGGGGTGCACAAGCCAGCCAACAAAGAATGGAAAGTCACTCTGCACTTGGAAACAGTGTAGAATAGTGGGAAACAGCCTAATAAAATTGTAAAGAGCATGAACTTAGGAACCAATCAGATTCACCTGGTGTATTATCTATTATCATGAAACAAATTGCCCCAAATTTTAATGGCTTAAAACAACATTTATTTTTTTAAAATATATTTTATTGATATTTTACAGAGAGGAAGGGAGAGAGATAGAGAGCTAGAAAAGTCAATGAGAGAGAAACATCGACCAGCTGCCTCTTGCACACCCCCTACCGGGGATGTGCTCGCAACCAAGGTTCATGCCCTTGACCGGAATCGAACCTGGGACCCTTCAGTCCACAGACTGACGCACTACCACTGAGCCAAACCGGTTTCTGCACAACATTTATTATTATCGCAATTTCTGTGGGTCAGCAATCTGGGTACAGCTTAACTGGATCCCCTGGTTCAAGGTTTCCTACAGACTGCAATCAAAGTACCAGCCTGACTACAAAAGGATCCACTGTCAAGCTCACTCATGTTATTGTTGGCAAAGACTCAATTCCTCCTGGGCTGTTGGTCTGAGAGAGCTTTAATTTCTTATCGGCTATTGGCTGGTCTCAGTTCTTTGTCATGTGGTCCTTTCCAATGGCAGCTTGCTTCATCGAAATATGCAAGCTAAAAAGGCAATAGTGTCTGCTAGTGAGATGGAAGTCTTAATCTATTGTAAACTAATCACAGAAGTGACATCCCCTCATTTTTGCTTTATTCTATTTATCAGAAGCAAGTCACACTCAAGGGAAGGGGATTACATAAGAACGTGAACACCACCAGGAGTTAGGATCTTTGGGGCCATCTTAGAAATGTGCCTATTACACCTGAATTTGAGTTCTAACTCTGATATTTGTGATCATCAGCAATATTCCAGGAAATAATAATAGGATGGTTTTGAGATTTAAATGAGGAAATACATTTAAATTACCTGGTGTATACTAAATGCCCAATACATGTTTGTTATTACTTAGGTTGTGGACACAGGGAAGGGAATATGGCTGGGAGGTGAAGATTGGCTAAGCAGAGCAGGAGTCAATGTCTAAAGTTGTGGTGTAGGCTCTGAGGCATCCCAATTTACCAGTTAAAAAATTTTTTAAGATATTTTTATTGATTTCAGAGAAGGAGATGGAGAGAAACATCAATGATGAGGGAGAATCATTGAGTGGCTGCCTCCTGCACACTCCCTACTTGGAATTGAGCTTGCATCCTAGGCATGTGCCCGTGACCGGACTTGAACCAAGGACCCTTCAGTCCAGTTTTGCTATCCACTGAGCAAAACTGGCTAGGGCTCCTAGTTACAATTTAAGAGGAAGGACCAGGGCCAGTGTGGCTTTGTTGGTTGGGTGTTGTCCAGTGAACCCTTCCTCTCTCTCTAAAATTAATGAAAACATTTTAAAAATTAGAAAGTCTTAACTGTCACAGCCAAGAGGAACTTGAGACATGACAACTAAATGTAATGGGCTATCCTAGATGGGCTCCTGGAACAGAAAAAGAACATAAGGTAAAAACTAAGGAAATCTGAATGAAGTATAGGCTTTGATTAATTAGTCAATATTGATTCATAAATTGTAACAAATGAACCATACTAAGGTAAGATGATAATAAAAGGGAAATTGTGCATGAGGTATATGGAAACTGTGCTATCTTCACAATATTTTTATAAGTCTAAAATTGTTCTGCCCTAGCTGGTTTGGTTCAGTGGATAGAGCATTAGCCTAAGGACTGAAGGATCCAAGTTCCATTCCAGTAAAGGGTACATGCCCAGGTTGTGGGCTCGGTCCCCCGTGTGGGATGTGCAGGAGGCAGCTGATCAATGATTCTCTCTGATCATAGATGTTTCTATCTCTCTCTCTCTCCCTCCCTCTCCCTTCCCCTCCCTTCCCCTCTGAAATCAACAAAAATATATTTTAAAAATAAAAAATACTTTTTTTCTAAAATTTACATTTTATTTCTTAAAAAATCAAGGAACCCAGCTCATTGGTTGAGCATTGACCTATGAATCAGGAGATCCCGGTTTGATTTCTGGTCAGGGTACATGCCCAGGTTGCTGGCTCCATGCCCAGTATGAAGCCTGCAGGAGGCAGCTGATCAATGATTCTCTCATCATTGATGCTTCTATCTCCCTCTCCCTCTCCTTTCCTCTCTGAAATCAATAAAAATATATTTAAAAATAAAGTCAATTCATTTACACAATCCATACATTTAGTAAATACTCAAAGTTCAAGACCTACCCAAATGATTTCAATATGCTTTTTCCACTACACAATACCCTTCAAACTTTATTCTCTTTAGGATTATATAGGTATTTGTATGACTATCTAAAGCAAGTCCCTTAAAGGCAGAGAAAAAAATTCCCCCTAGTACACCATTAGTGTTCAGTAAACCAGTTTAAGTTAACTACTAAAAACAAAAAAGTCATGGAGATGTGAAGAAACTGAGATTTGATCAGACCTGACCTACCACACAGTCAACTGCATAGCTTGCTCCGCAGGGAGATGTCTTAGGCTCTGGACCGAGGGCCACTCAGTTCAGCAAGAGTCCTGTGCTGCCATCTACCCGTAGCTGGTAAGCATTGACTTCCCTCGCTGCATTTCGGGAACTAGTGAGGAGTAGGGGAAGTTGTAGAGAAGACTCAAAAGCTAATTAAATTACAGAACCTATGTTAAGTGTTACAAAGCTCTCTCAACACTTGTTCAAGGCAAAGGCCCTGCTTTTCTTCAAATATTTCAGGCTCTCCTATCTCCGTATTAAATCTTAGGCTTCTAAAATCCAGACTTCCTCTCTAACCCACCTCCACGGATACAGACCTATTACTGCCCATCTCCCAAAACTCAGCCAAAACTCAGGCTCTCCCGCACCTGGTAGGCTGCAGAAACCCTTAACCTCACAACTTTAAGACACCCCCCATCGTCCAATTTCCCCATTTTCACACGCACACACACCCTCCCCCGAGCCTCCTTGCACACTACCTTGCAAACACCACACACCTCTCCCATTATTAGAGCAATTGCTGGCGCTAACCCACATCTCCCCACCAAAGAGGTTCAAGTTCCGCGTGCAGCTAACACCCACGCGAAAACCTGGGGAGAGCCAAGGCTTCGGGTCCCGCCCCATCCCCCGCCCCGATCCGGGATCCGGGCCGCCCTAGGCCCACAGCCTGCGGGCTGAGACCCCGCCCCTCCAGACCTGTCATCACAGAAGCCGCACGTGGCCGGGGCGGGACCTCAGGCGACCTGCAGCCACCACTTTGTCTCCCCTGCCATCCGCTGGGGGCGCTGCCGCCAATCAGAACCGGCGGGTCCGGGCTGGAGCTCCAGGGCCCGGGTGAGGCGAGCGCGAGAAGGGAGGTGGGGGGGGGCGGGTAAGGGAAGGGAGGCTCTGGGCCGGGAGGGGGCTCGCTCTGGAAGGGGGCCTGGCACCGGTTCTGCCAGGCTGGAATTCTAGGGGGCGGTTCCTAGAAAAAAGGCGGAGACACCCAAAGGGGGCAGGGACTGGGGTGGGGCCAGGGGCAAGCTGAGGATCCTGGGGAGACGACCAGATAGACGAGAAGGGGCGGAGCCCGAGAGGGGGCGTGGTCTAGGGGTACCGGGGGAGGACCCCGAGGAATTCAAGAAACTAGGAAAGGGGACGAACCCCGGGGAAGGTGGGAGGTGGGACCGGGGGAGGGTGGGGATGGGCGTTGCGGGGGCGGGGCTCCGACCTAAGTAAGGGGCGAGGTTTGCAGGCCCAGGCTGCAGCTGGGGCCGCTCGGTCACTGCACCAGTCAGTCCACCGCCTCCCCAGGTGCAACGGAATTCACGGAACTGCAGGTGTGGGGCGGGGTGCGGGTGGAAGCTGGGGAAACCACTGGGGTGCGCCTGCGCAGACAGGAGGCGGTGGGGGACACGTCAGGGATCTATAGGTTGGGGGGCAGAAAGACAAGAGTTTGGGGGGAGTTGGGGCTCAATGTGGGGGCCAGGTGCACTCTTCCGGGGCTCTTGTGCGGGAAGGGCGGGACTGTTTTGTGGGGGTGGAAGGTGCTAGGTGAAGAGGTGAGGTTCTTGTCTGATGTGGAGGTTTGGGGGGGAGGGAGAGGGGTTCGAAAGCGCTTTGGGGAACAGGGCTGGTGGTCCAGCGTGTGGGAGAAACGGAGGGACTGTGGAGAAAGGAAGCACGGGGCTGTGAGCACTGTAGGAGGGGAAGGGGTTTATAGGCCCCAGTGGATGAGACCGGAACCCCTAGTGTTTTGAGAAAGTAATAGTCTGGGGGCACTGTAGAGACTCCCGGGAGATGTGTGTGTGCTGTGTTTTAGGAGTGAGGGTGATGGGATTAGTGGGGTGAAGAGGCTAGTCTAGTGCTGCTGGCTCCTCAGCACCTAACTCCACCTCTGGGCTTGTGTAAACTGTCTGCTCAGTCTGCTTTGAATCTATCTGGCTGAGACTGGGGTTTCTTCCCCTCGCTGGTGTCCCTGGGGACCCTTCCCCCATTCGTTCCTGTTAACCCCCCACTCCAGTTCCTGTTCCTTCCAGAAGCCTGCTTTGGTCCCTGTCTTCCCCCTCCCCCCACTTTGCTCTGCCCTTCTGCTCTGGGTGTGCTCATTTCCCACTTCCTTCCTCGCCCTGGGGCCTGGCCTGGTCCTTGCCCGTCTAGGAGCTGTGCCCTGCCCCAGACTTTGTACTCAATAACCGGAGACCCTGGTAACCAGCAGCAAGACCCGGATTCCACCCACCACAACTAGGAAGGTCTCCCTTAACAGCCCCCAAGTGACTGGGAGCCATATTTTTAACCACTTTGCCACAGACTGATTTTCCCCACCTTTTTAATTCTCCTGGGTGAGGATCCCTAGGGCGCTCAAAAATTCTGGACTTCTGCAAGAGGAAGGGCATAGTGAGGAGTATTGAAGGTGTTTGATCTATGTTTTGAGAATTGGACCACGATTGTAGGCTGAACTAGGGATGTGCGCTTCAATTGGCTTCCCACACTCCTGGCTTGGAAGCTGACTGTCAGAACTGAGCCTGGAGCCTAGTCCTCTTGGGGGCTCCTCTGGCTCGCTGAGGGGACTTGATGTGGTGCCAGAGTTCTTTTTGCCTCTGCATTGACTAGGAGAGGGTGGGAAAGGCCTGTCTTGCACACAGTGGCTGAATGAATGTGACAGTGTTGCTGAAAGGGGCCCCAAGCCAGCCTCTGCTAGCTGAGAGACTGGCTGGGGAAGGAGGGGGTGCTAAGGCCAGACAAAGCCTTGGGGTAGGGTGGGGTAAAGGAGGGCAGGCTGATGCCTTTCAAGGAGGAGCTGATTGCTATGGCAACCCAGCTTCCCTGACTGTCAGTCAGAGAGGCGGGCCTAGGGCAGACTCACTCCAGCTTCCTCCGGATTGGGGCATTTGTGAGAATGGGTGGGGCACGAAGAGAAAGGGCATTAGTTTGCTGAGGCTGTTGTTAAGTAGCCTTTCTGCTTCCATACAAGCTGCAGGGCATTCAGACGCCTGGACCCATCTTTTGAAAATGGACATGAGTGAACAATAGCCATTAGAATGATAGTGGTGTAAGGCCAGAGTCCTAGAGGTCCTTAGTGGTCATCATTTATGCACACCCCTCATTTTACAGATTTGGAAACTTACCACCAAAGAGACTGATTTTCTCCAGGTTTCACGGTAAAAGAGCAGGAATTAGCTCCCAGCTCTCCTGATTGCTGTTTGGCCAGGGCTCGTTGCCTCCTTCAGCCAATGTTCAGTGAACATCTAGTGTGTGCCAGGCACTGATGCTGATTCTGGGAATACCTGCATGAACAAAACAGAGTTGCTGCTTTCAATGGAGCTTCCATTGTAATAGGGGGAGAAAGAAGTGTGTGTGTGTGTGTGTGTGTGTGTGTGTGTGAGAGAGAGAGAGAGAGAGAGAGAGAGAGAGAGAGAGAGAGAGAGAGAGAGGGTCAGCTGTTGATAACGAGTATGAAAAAAATAAAGCAGGTTAAGAGTTAGGGCAGCTAGGTAAGGTAAGGCCTCTTGGTTGTGCTATGCTGCTTTTCCAGGTCACACTGAGGCTTAAAACATCTTTGATCTTTCCCTCTGATATCCTGAACTTTGCAGGTTACCAAGGCCTGGGCCTATATTAATGGCACTAAGAGAGAACAAGGTAGAGTCTGTCACCAAGGGATTATTCCTTCCCTACAGTGTTCTTTGTCTGCCAGAAAGCTTTTACTGAGGCAAGTAGACTCTGACATTGGCACGCTGCAGTTTAGTCCAGGGCGTCAAAAATTCTTTTACTCTTGTTTCATACCATTGGGGAACCAGCGAGGAAGTCAGTGTAGGACAACTGGATTCTTCTTCAGGGCTTTTCCTTGGTCTGAGGTGAGAAGGTAGAGGAACTAACTTACTGGCTTGCCCTTCCTAAGTCTAGGGCACGAGGAGAAAGTAGGGGGAGGGGAACCTCCTTTTACTGTCCAGTGACAACCTCAGGGACCTTGAGGCCCACAACATAGGTATGATATTGTAGAAACAAGGACCTTGGGCCTTCTGTGGCCTCCGAACTATAGAAGTACAGACTCCCCATGTTCTGGGGGTCCAACCAGGGAGCTGCCCTGGCTGTTGTCAGTTCTCCAAGGCCTCAGTGTGAGTCGTCCATCTTTTGGTTCTGGTGTTTGCCTCCTGCTTCTGTGGAAAACTAGGAGAAAAGCCTCCTAAGTTCCAAACTACTTGACTTGCTGACAAGTGCAGGTAGAAATATAGGCAGTGCCATCTATTTTCTTAGCTTTCCCCTAGAGCGGCCCCTCTGAAAGGTTTCTTTTAACTTACAGAGGTTTCCATCCAGGTCATTGAAAGGATAGGAAGACAAGAATTAGGAATGCTGGTTCTGCTGCGAGGTAATTTGGCTGGGCCTGGGGCCCAGTGACTCAGGGGGAGGCGGGGAGTTTCGAGGGAGCTGTGAGTCATAGGGGTGAGCTCCATCACAAGAGTTGGGCATATTTCCCCCACTCTGGGCAGAAGCCTTCCATCCCACCTCCCATGAGTGTTCTGCCTCCTTGAACCGGGGCCTATGAATAGAAATTGCTGGCAGAAGGGATGAAGCAGACTAATCTCAGAATGGGAAAATTCAGAGACACAAAGAATGATGTTCAGGTCTCTGAATTAAAATGTACTCTTATCTCGAGAGCCCTTGGGGTCCCTCTAATAAAGGCAAAAGAATATCAATATAGAGTAAGAGAAAAAAGAATACCATTCCTCAGCCCTAGCTGGGTTGGCTCAGTGGATAGAACCTCGGTCTGTGGACCAAAGGTCCTGGGTTCCATTCAGGTCAAGGGCACGTGCTTAGTTGCAGGTTCCTCCACCAGCCAGGGCCTGGGCCCTAGTCCGGCTCTGGTCCAAGCGCGTGCGGAAGACAATCAATTGATGTGTTTCTCTCCCATCTATATTTCTCTCTCTCTTTCACTCCCTCTAAAAACCAATGGAAAAAGAAAAAAAGAATAACATTTCCAATGAAAAGAGACATATCCCACTTCAGGACGTTTTTCATCTGCTCTGGCATGAAGGAATCTTCCTAGGCTCCCACAATTCTCTGGTCTCTGGAGCTCTGGTTTGCAAAACATAGAAGGATGAATGGGGAGTGGGGTTATGTGGGGTCTGGTGTGGAAAGAGCAGGTGGATGTTGGAGGTTGTCCAGCAGTGTCTATGAAAGCTCTAGGACGTCTTCTTTATTTACCAGCCTCCGTAGAGGCTTTGAAAGGGTTACGTGGCTGGGCCCAGAGACGCTTTGAACTTTGGCAGATGAGGAGTTAAGGAGGTGGGCGGGGCGACGCTGTCTAGGCCTGCCCCCATATGGACCAATGGGTGCGCACCTCTTGGAGGGGGCGTGCCTCATCTTGAGGTCGTGGGAGGCTGGCCTCCCGTGGGCCAATGAACACGGTCGCTATCGTGGGGGCGGGGCCTGAGGGGGCGTGGCGGCCAGGGCCGCCCGGGGGCGGGGGAGTGGGGACGCGGGGCGGGGCGGGCGGCCCCATCAGCTGGTAGGAAATGGCCTGTGAGTCAGAGGGGCAGCAGAGTCGGCTCGGCTGCGCGGAGCCGGGGCGGCCACGGGGAGGAACAGTCGCGGGGAGGGGCGCAGCAGTGGCTGGGAGGCTGCAGACGCCAGGGCCCGCTAGTGGTGCACCCGAAGCCAAACAGAGAAGAGCCTAGCAGAGCAGGACTCAGCCCGAGCCACCCTTTGTTTGGGTTGGGGGCCCGTGTCGGGGAGGACTGGGGATTCGAAGGGAGGGACGGGGACGGAGGGGCCCGGAGCTGCGACCGCCGTGGCAGAGCCAATTTGGGAGCGGGGTGAGTGTGTCCTACGGGGAAAGAGCACATCTATGGAGCTTCAGGGTGGGATGGGGCCTGTCCCAGGCTGTGGGGAGGAGAGAGGCGAGAAAGGACCTGGGAGGCAAGAGTGGGGATGGGGGATGGTCCCAAACAAGGAGTCCAGGAACCCCGGGTGAGCATGCCAGGTCCAGTTTGGAGTTGGTGCTGAGATCGGCTCCCTCTCCCCTGAGGGTGGAGGGCTCTAGGCCAGGAGCCAAGAGAGGGTGGTGAGAGAACGGTGGTTGACCTTCCTACCCACCGTGGTGATCTATGGAAACAAGCCCCCTAGGTTGCACATGTGTAGGGGCAACATTTAAAGCAGCTAGCAGCAGTTCTCTCTGAACAGGATGAGGGTGATCAACACATGGAGAGGAATTTCTCTTCCTGCGAACCTTCCTTGATCAGAGTAGAAATGGATATCTTTAATACTGAAGGGAAGGGGAGAGTGTTAGCCTACTAACACCCCCACCTCCCCCACCTCCCCAGGCTAAGCAGGTGTCTGAGGGTACAGACCCCATGGTATTCTGGTACTTGTTGTTTTTGCTGGCCATGCTCCCTTGGCATGTTGGGAGCTGTAGTCTTGGCCAGCCAAAGCCTGGCACAGCTGTTTGAAGCCAGCTGCTGCCCACCCCCTGCACTGAAAGGAGGTTTGGCTTGCCCTTCCCCCAAAGTCCTGCCCCATGAGTCAGCTTGAAGCCAGCCATGGTCGAGAGCCAGACTGGCTGGGTGGCAGGGAAATGAGTCTTAAAGCTTCTCATTGACAGGACTGGAGCTGAGGGCTCTGGGATAATGAGCAGGTGCCACACATGCTGGGGTCAAGTAGGGCATCATGTCATCACCTGGCTTCCCCAGGGCAAGGGCTCAAGAGGCCATCTGGGATGACTTGGAGGTGGAAGTGCAAAGGAAAAGGCCCTTCCTGAATCCATATGGCCTGGGTAGAGGAAAGGAGGGGTGCAGAGAGAGTACAGATTGTACTCTGACAACACTGCCATTGGCATTCTGTCCTTTCCCGCCACCCCACCCACCACAGGAAACCAGAATTTTCTTAAGAGATCCCAGTTCCAATGAGAACCTGGCAAACTGGGATAGTGTGGGATGCAATGAGGAGAATTTAGCGTCAGAGAGCTTCTCAGTCGCTGGGCGCAAATCTCCCCCTTTACCCTGCCCCCACTCCCACCTCTGTTGCTGATGTTCATCCTCCCTATACTCTCTGCTTCTCTCATTCCGGAAGTTTTCCTCTGCATTGTCGGGACTGCTGCCCGAATCTCTGGGGCTTGCATTCCATATTTTTGAGGCCCTGCTGTGTGCCTACCCCTGTGCTTGGAATTGGACAGAGTAGTGGGGTGTAGACCTGGCCTCAAGAACCCTATGGTCAGTCTAGGAGTTGTCTTACCCTCAGAGTGAACAGAGCTGTCCCAGGAGACAGTGATCCTGCCATCGGTGAGGTCTCAGAGCAGAACGATATCTGTGGTCTGAAGTGGCCACAATGGGCTCTCTGGACGGGGTGCCATTTGACCTAGCCAAGGAGAAAGGTTAGCTCTTGGGGTAGACAAACAGAAGGCATTTCTTGAAGTGGAAAGGGCATTGTGGATGTCAGACAGCAAAGGCTATTGCCCAAAAGAGAAGAATTTCCTTCCATGAAGGGAAATGGTCTTCAGTTTGGCATTCCCCTCCCCGAGTATGGGCTCCTGAGGGTGGACTAGTTCCTGAAGACCATCTTGTGTTCTGGCAGAAAGCAGTGGTTTGGGTTTTGGGGATTGGAAACGTGTTGGAGAGGAGCAGGTTGCTTCTAGCTGTCTGACTGCAGCTGCCTTATCTCTAGTTTGCAGGGCCTGGGGGGAGGAGGAGTGCCTCTGGCAGTGCCCCCCTCCTCCCCTGGCCCCCACACATACTTGTTTATGGTTAGATTTGCTGCCTCCTGTTAAAGGGACAAAGTGCTGGGGATTGTTGGTAGTTTTAAGGCTGAAGGGTCAGTCCACTTTGAGCTGACCTGAGGTTTGTACTACTGAGGAATGCTGGTGGGGGTGGGGGTGGGGTGAGCTTCTGCCAGATCTCTGCCCTTAGGGCTCCGGGGTAGCACTTGTCTCTTTAGAGACAGACATGGGGAGGAGTTGTGCAACTTGGTGGTGTGGACTAGGAGGGCTGAATTCTTTTTCGGCCACCTCTCCTCGGGTGTGGCCTCTTGAATCTTGAGGTATCTCACCCCCCTTCCCATTCAGGGCCCTAACAAGTGGTAATCCTGCCTCAACTTATCAGATGCTCATTTCATTGAGCCAAAACCTGCCTCTCTCTAACTCCTTAGGTAGCCCAGCTCTACTCTCGGGGGCCTGGGTCCAAGACGGCCCCTTCTGTTTCTGAAGAGCTCCCCGTAAGGGCAGAGGATGTCCTGCGGGGTACTCCATTAGCCCACTGTCGGAAAGGGGTCTCCCCACTGACTACAGGGATCCCGGTTTACATCTGTTCTTCTCTCCTCAGGGTCCAGCTGAGCCCGGGAGCTGCACGGAATGGTGGCAGTCACCTCGCCAGTGCAGCGGGCATGGACCAGACTACAAGCTAGGAGAGCGGGACATCAGTCGGAAAGAGAGAACACTCAGCTGGGCTTAAGGCCTCTTCATCGGGGTGAGTGCCAGAAAGAGGGAGGTGGAGCAGGTCCAGTAGGAAACCTGAGCTAAGCATGTCACCCTCCCAGAAGCTCTGGAGCAGCCTCTATGTTCCATTAATCCATCCAGGGATCTGAACCCCTCCATCCCCGCTGACCTTCAAGGTCACCTCTTCAGGCCAGGGAAGGACCTGAAACTCAGCGGGGAGGGAGAAAACTCACGGATTCCTCTGACCACCTTTTTTTTTCTCTCTCTCTCTTTCTCTCTTCTTTTGTGCAGATGTCCCCAGACCCCCCAGCCCAGGCCCAGCATAAAGGCTGTGAGGGGGGGCCCCCCTGACACAAGGGGGGACTCCATGCGCCACGTGCAGGCGGAGCCATCTCCATCCTCAGAGCCAGAGGCTGGCCCTTCGCAGCCTGCAGTCAGGCAGGGGGCCCTCCAGGGTGGCCTGCTCATGGGCTACAGCCCAGCAGGAGGGGCGACATCCCCCAGGGTCTACCAGGTATCCATCTTTTCCTCTCCAGCTGGCGCCTCTGAGCCTCACAGGGCCCTGAAACGGTCATCCCCGCTCACTGAGGGTCCCCGGGAGCTGAAGAGAGGCCCTGGGCTGGGGGTCAGAGAGGGACAACCCCCTGAAGAACCATCCGCTGTGGGGCTGTGGGGCCCAGAGGGGCTGGGGCTGGGGCTGGGCGTGGCCAGCCAGCATTTCTGCCATCACGGCCTGTGTGTTGTAGAACAGGGAGGTAGCTCCACCTCACCTTGGACTTCAGGGGCCCAGAGTCTCCCCTGGCCCCCATCAAATGCTTCCTGCAATACTTTGCACACCAGAGACTGGGCTTCCCCAGATCCAGGGGGACAGGGGTCCCTGGGGGCGTCCCCAGGGCGAGCCCCTCCAGGCCAGCTGCACACACTTGACACTGATTTGCACAGTCTTGCACAAATAGGGTGTAAGAGCCCAGTGGCTGGGGTGGGCAATGGGGGCAGCCCCTGGCCTAGGGAATGCCCTGGCACTGCCAATGGGCACAGTCCCGAGCACACACCCCCTGGCCCTGGACCTCCAGGCCCCTGCCCCACCAAGCGAAGGCTGCTTCCTGCTGGAGAAGCTCTGGATGTCAGCTTTGAGGATGAGGGGCCAGCCCCTCAGAAGCGCCGGGGAACCCTGGGTCACCCTCCTGCTGCCAACAGTTCTGATGCCAAAGTCACACCCTTCTGGAGCCACCTGCTGCCTGGGCCCAAGGAGCCTGTGCTGGTAAGCCAGGAGACGAGGGGGTGGTCTACTATTTTTTTAAATTTATTCTAAATTGCCTAACCGGTTTGGCTCAGTGGATAGAGTGTCAATCTGTGGACTGAAAGGTCCCAGGTTCGATTCCGGTCAAGGGCATGTACCTTGGTTGCGGGCACATCCCCGGTAGGGGGTGTGCAGGAGGCAGCTGGTGGATGTTTCTCTCTCTCATCGACGTTTCTAGCTCTCTATCCCTCTCCCTTCCTCTCTGTGAAAAATCAATAAAATATATTTTTTTAAAAATTTATTCTAAATTATAAGTGACACAGTATTATATTAGCTTCAGGTATACAACATAGTGATGCAACTTTTATATACCTTACAAAGTTGCCCTAACCGGTGTGGCTCAGTGGATAGAGTCCCAGGTTCAATTCCGGTCAAGGGCATGTACCTTGGTTGCGGGCACATCCCCATAGGGGGTGTGCAGGAGGCAGATGATTGATGTTTCTCTCTCATTGATGTTTCTAACTCTCTGTCCCTCTCTCTTCCTCTCTGTGAAAAAATCAATTATATATATATATATATATATATATATATATATATATAATTGATTTTTTATATATATATTTTATATATATATATTATATATAATATAAAATATTTTATATATAAAAATATATATTTTATATATATTTTTATATATATATATTTTATATATATATTTTTTTATCAATAAAATATATTTTAAACAAAAACAGAGTGATCACCACAATAAGTCTAGCAACAATCTGTCACTGTGCATGGTTATTACATTATGACTCTATTCCCCATGCTGAACGTTATGTCCCTGCGACTTATTTTATAACTGGACATTTGTACTTCTGAGTCCCCTTCCCCTTTTCTGTCTAAGCCCCTGTCCTCCTCCCCTTTGGAGGAAGGTGGAGGCCTGGGGGCATGTTCCTCCGGGAGCTCGTGAGGAGCCCCTGCTCCTCCAAACATATCTGGCCTCCACCCAATCTTTCCCCCAATCTTTGTTCTCCACAGGATCCAACAGACTGCAGTCCTGTGGGACGGAGGCTGAAAGGTGCCCGTCGCCTGAAGCTGTAAGTGACCAGCTCCCCTCTCTGTCCTGTCCCTGGAAAAGGGGACAGCAGTCTGCAATCCTCTTCTCACTGTAGGGTAGGGGGCCCCAGGGCAGAAGCCCTGGTAATGGTAAAGGGCGGGGCCTAAGAACATGAGCAGACATCCCAGAATACCTCAAGCCAACCCACTGTGTATCCCTGCCCTACCAGGAGCTCCCTTCGAAGCCTCCAGAAGGGCCCAGACCTGCTGAGCCCCCCCAGTGCCTCCCCTGTTCCTACCCCCGCAATCAGCCGTACCCTGTTGGGCAACTTTGAGGTAGTTACCCCTGGATTCCATGGTTGGGGGTGGGGGAGGGTTTCGGGGGACGTGGGGTGGTGGAATGTGTCTTGGATGGATAAGGAAAACAGCCGGCGTCTCTTTCATCGCGTGCTCTCCCACCCTAGGAATCATTGATCCGAGGACGCTTTGCACCATCTGGCCACATTGAGGGTTTCACCGCGGAGATCGGAGCCAGTGGATCCTACTGCCCCCAGCACGTCACGCTGCCTGTCACTGTCACCTTCTTCGATGTTTCCGAGCAAAATGCCCCGGCCCCTTTCCTGGTAGGACCCGATTTCAACCCATAAACGGCTCTTAAGGATGAGGGGTTGGGGCCACGAGGTATTCTTTAGGTGTTCCTCACCTAGAAAAGAGTCAGGGCAGGAGGGGGAATAGGGCCAGGTCCCAGAGCGAGACTGTGGAGATGGACGGGTATTCAGGGCTCTCCCAGTGCCCGACTCGGCTGACGGTTCTGTGGCCTTCCCAGGGCATCGTGGACCTGAACCCACTGGGGAGGAAGGGTTACAGCGTGCCCAAAGTGGGCACCATCCAAGTGGTGAGTTTTCCCTGAGGGGGAGTGTGTGTGTGGGAATGGGGAGAGGAAAACAGCCCCGTTGGCCCTACCAACCTTGCTTGTCCTGCCCCCAGACCTTATTTAACCCCAACCAGACTGTGGTGAAGATGTTCCTTGTGACCTTTGACTTCTCGGACATGCCTGCTGCCCACATGACCTTCTTGCGCCATCGCCTCTTTTTGGTGCCTGTGGGTGAGGAGGGACATGTGAGCCCCACCCACCGTCTCCTCTGCTACTTGCTGCACCTCAGGTGAGGATCAGGCCCAGGGACAGGCATCCTTTCAGCGACACATGGATCCCTTCCCTGAATAGGGTCTCTCCTTGCTTCTCAGCTGTCTGGGTCCTCGTTGTGATCACCCTCTCCTCCCCCAGGTTTCGGAGCTCCCGCTCAGGCCGCCTAAGCCTCCATGGAGACATCCGCCTGCTTTTCTCCCGCCGGAGCCTGGAACTGGACACAGGGCTCCCCTATGAGCTGCAGGCTGTGACTGAGGCCCCTCACAACCCTCGTTATTCACCTTTGCCCTGATTGCCAGTGCCCTGAACCACGTGGGCCAAGGACCAGCCCATCCTGCTCCATCCTGGACAAAGCAAGCATGTGGAGAGGTGGCAAGAGACCCTTCAGGCTTGAATTAAAGCCCTCACCATGCTTATGCCCAAATTGGTCATTTGGGTATTGAACGCTTCTGATCCTTACCACAATCTGCCCTACTCTGGGTTCTCCATGTGCCTGCCCCCTCCCTTGGAATTCCCAGACCAGCTAGGGAGTGAGAGGAGGAACTGGAGGTACCCTGAGGTTGTCCCAAGTTCCCAGGCAAATCATGCCAACATTGCCTCCCTGCCCTAGGCAGGGGCCACTTATTATTTTATTTATTTTTAACTAATAATTTATTCGGATTGGATTGCCTTGGTAACCTCCCAAACCTGATATTTGGCATTGCTCCACCTTCTTTCCCACTCAGATATTGCTCCAGTTTCAGGAATTGAAGAGGCTGCTGTTGGGGCTGAAGGAGAACTGCTCTCCCTCAGCTGAGAGCAGAAAGGTTATCCCAGAAGGACTGAGTCAGAAGCCAAACACTCAACTTCTCCTGTCCTTCCCTATATTTTTCACTTCCTCTGGCCTCTGACCCCTCTCTGAAAGCAACTTATGTGTGTATGCGTGTGTGTGTGTGTGTGTGTGTGTGTGTGTGTACACAAGCTTGTGTGTATGGTATGTGTGTTAGAAAGAGAACATGCATGCATGTGCACACACCTGGGGTTAACTACCCCTCATCTAGGGCTCCAGACTCCAGTTGTCCCTCTCCTGCTTGTGTCTCCTTGCTTTGGGGTCCTGACTGAGGAAGGTGTTCAGGGGCCAGAGTCAGGGCCAAGGACCGGGATGCCTCCTCTCACCTGGCCAGACTCTGACCCACCTACCTCAGCTGGGGTGAAGGGCACCCTTCAAACTCAACCATGTGGTTCCCAACTACCCCATATCCCACTCCAGACTCTGACAGCCTTAGCCCTGACTCCTGGGGCTGGGCTGAGGGGAACAAGCATTTGTTGAAACTTGAAAAACAAAACACCGGAAAAATTGTACCTGGTACTTTTTTTTTTTTTTAGAGGAAAAAAAAGACAGAAAGAAAATAAATTCTTGTTTGGAAACTTGAGCTAAGTTGTACGTTTTCTGTTGAGAGCATGGGAATGGGGACGGAGGGCCAAATTGAAGTTGGGACTCTGCCCTTTCTTCAGAAAGGGGGCCTGAGGCCATGAGGTAGTAGGTGAAGCCCTGCAGAGCCTCAGGGGCTGGTCTTGCTTTTTTCAGTGAGTGGGGTTAGGAGGTGGGGAAGATTTAGTCATAAATCTGTGTATATGAATTTTTGTACTAATTCTGTTAGTGATTTTAGCCTCTCTGAGCTTTATTGCGCTAATATATAAAAATGAGGGTCAATATGCAAGCCTCTTAAAGGATGTGCCAGAGCATCAGGGATGTGTGCAGGGTGACCTGTTCCAGACTAGGCTGAACTTTGGGGCTCTGTGCCGGACTCTATGTAAAGAATATCAGACCTGATAGACCCTGACTGGGAAGGGGTAGAAAAAAGCTACGGCGTCTTGGGAAAAGAGGGAAGAGGGAAACCTCAGACCCATTGCCGGACAATGTTAGGACCAGTCACCATGGCAACAGGAATGGGGTCAGTCCCCGGTGGGAGGGCAGAGTATATCACAGCAGGACTGCCAGAGAATGTCACTATAGCAACCGGCAACCGTGACTACGAGTCAGCTCCAATACCATGGTCGCTAGGGTGACCGATGGGCGCGGTTATAAGCTCAGAAGGATAAAGTTGTCTCGCCCTTGAGGGTGTAAGAACTCGGTGGGAGGTGTTTCTGGGCCACCAGCCCACGGGGAATAGCCTTCATTCTGGTCACCGCGTCCGCGATCCTGAGCTGGATGCGCGAGAACCATGACAAGCTCCTCTCGGGCCCTCTCGCTAGGTCTGCGTTTCCCAGGAAACACCTGGAAGCACGCTCCAGCCAAGTGAACGCTGATTGGCTGAGTATGAAATGCGTGAAGGGAGCGAGGCGACGACCGGAAGTACATCCGGGGAGGAGTGGAGCTACCGGAGGGGAAAAAGGCTTAGGCCCGCCTTCTGGTCTAGAGTGGCCGCTCTGCTCCGCGTCTCGTTGGTTCCGGAGGACTCCACGGCCGTGGGAAATGCTGGCGCGCGCGGCGCGGGGCACTGGGGCCCTTTTGCTGAGGGTAGGAACGAGGCAGCCTCCTCCAAGGGTTGGGCTAGAGACTGACCCGGGTCCTTATCCAGGAAGGAGAGGGATCCAAAGTTTGGTTAGAGGGCTGGAGTCAGAGGTCACAAGTCCCCACGTGAGCCCTGCTCCGGCGGTGCTGGAAGATGCCTCCCGAACCTGCAGCGCCCAGCCGGCTGGGATCTCTGCTAACCCTCCTGGTCTTCCCATCAGGGATCCCTGCAGGCTTCTGGCCGCGCTCCGCGCCGTGCCTCCTCAGGATTGCCCCGGAACACCGTGGTACTCTTTGTGCCGCAGCAGGAGGCCTGGGTGGTGGAGCGAATGGGCCGATTTCACCGCATCCTGGAGCCTGTGAGAACTCTTCTGCTCATCCTGGGCCAGCCCGGTTCCCAATTCCCTCACGTCCTGGCGGGGTGGTGAGGAGATTACCTCCTTGGGGCCTGCCCTCACCTTTGGCTGGCAACTAACCCCCTAGGCCAGACCCGGCAGAACCCAGGCTGCTGACCGCCCTAACCACGTTCCCACCTCTTCCTGTTGCCCTAGCATCCTCCATTCGCGGGGAATCTCTCCTACCCGCTCTCAGCTCCACCTGTCTGCAAGGAGAAAGATACACTGCCGGCTCCCAACCCCTTGAGTCTCCCACCCATTCAGAGGACAGACTTCACATTCCTATTCTCTTGGGCTTTCCCTACCATTGACATCCCCAGCCTTCTGCTTTTCTGGGCATGTCCATATGTTGATTCCCTACCCATTTCCAAGCCTAGCTTGGATACCAACCCTACATCCTTCTGAAGACCCATGACTCTTCTTCCCAGGGCCTGAACATTCTCATCCCTGTGTTAGACCGGATCCGATATGTGCAGAGCCTCAAGGAAATTGTCATCAACGTGCCTGAGCAGTCGGCTGTGACTCTTGGTGAGGGGTGCAGGGTGACTTGGGTGCTCTGGGGCCGGTAGGATGTGGTTGCTGGAGCCAGAGCTTAGGAGAAAGAGCTGACTGGGACCTAGATCTGACCTTCCACCTTTTCTCTCCTGCGCCTGCATTGCAGACAATGTAACTCTGCAAATCGATGGAGTCCTTTACCTGCGCATCATGGATCCTTACAAGGTATCTGTCTTCTGCTTTATTCAGCTCCTGATGTGCTCTCCTCACTAAAACCCTGCGCCCAAGCTTCTTACACTTCCCATGTTCCTTTCAGGCAAGCTATGGTGTGGAGGATCCTGAATATGCTGTCACCCAGCTCGCTCAGACAACCATGAGATCAGAGCTTGGCAAACTCTCTCTGGACAAAGTCTTCCGGGTAAGGGGATCTGAGCCAGAGTTAGGGGTTGAAGACATAGGCTTGGGCACTCTTCAGTCCTTTCTGGGGATCAAGGTCAATTCTAGATCCTTCTCAGCGTAGACCCCTGCTGAGTGGGCTGAGGCTCATACCTCTTTTTACACCTCTCTTCCTCCAGGAGCGGGAGTCCCTGAACGCTAACATTGTGGATGCCATCAACCAGGCGGCCGACTGCTGGGGCATCCGCTGCCTCCGTTACGAGATCAAGGATATCCATGTGCCGCCCCGGGTGAAAGAGTCCATGCAGATGCAGGTAGGCCCAGGGAGGACTTACCATGCTCTGCTTGTGTGGGAGCCTGGATTCCCTTCCCTCTTGCGAGGGTTACAGATGCAGGCCTGTATGAGAGTTTCACTCTGATTGGTGTTGCTGGGGGATTCCAGGTGGAGGCAGAGCGGCGGAAACGAGCCACAGTTTTAGAGTCTGAGGGGACCCGAGAGTCAGCCATCAACGTGGCAGAAGGAAAGAAGCAGGCACAGATCCTGGCCTCTGAGGCAGAGAAGGCTGAACAAATAAATCAGGCAGCAGGTCAGCCGAGGGGAGAGCCTGAGGGGAGAGCAGGGCATGGGTCTTTGAGGGTTGGTTCTGGGACAGGAGCTTGGGGGTCGGGGAGGGGCACCCTGACCTCCTGGGTCTAAGTTCTGTCTCTTTTCTTCCAGGGGAAGCCAGTGCAGTCCTGGCCAAGGCCAAAGCTAAAGCTGAAGCTATTCGCATCCTGGCTGCAGCTCTGACCCAACACGTGAGAGGCGCCTGGGTGGGAGTGGGAGACAGACATTGACAGTGGAAAAGGTTCTCTTATCTACCTTTGGGGGAAGTTCCTGCCTTTGTGGGTTTCATTGAGCCAGATTATATGGCCTCTTATGATATGCCTATCCTCTTTCCAGGAACCTGACTCTTCCTCTCCACTTCCCCGCCCGCCCTACTCCCTTCTCTACGTCTGTGATCTCTGATTTTATCCCTCCTGTGGCCACAGAATGGAGATGCAGCAGCCTCACTGACTGTGGCTGAGCAGTATGTCAGCGCCTTCTCCAAACTGGCCAAGGACTCCAACACTATCCTGCTGCCCTCCAACCCCAGTGATGTCACCAGCATGGTGGCTCAGGTTAGCATGCCCCAAGGATCTGGCACAAAGCACCACCGCCAGCACCATTTATATACCATACGCAAGCATGTCAAACCCTCCGTCTGCTGGCTACGAGTTTGACATCTTTCGGAGTGCCCTGAGACCTAGACCTCCCTTCATTTCCTATAGATAATGAACCTCTAAGGATGAAACAACTCCCCCCCGACCCCCCATTCCTTGAGATAGGGAAGCTCTTAAGACTTTTTTTTTTTACACCCCCACACCCCCACAGATATATAGTATTTTGAGGGTGGCCCTGCTCTGGTAGTTTGTAAAATTCCTAGAACTTGACTCCAGAGCTTATAAGACTATTGAGAGAGGGGAAAAGGAAAAACAAACCGACTAACCACAGCCCCACCTTCTGCCGTATGTTCTAATGGCTCTCTCTTCCTCTTCCCAGGCCATGGGTGTGTATGGGGCCCTCACCAAAGCCCCAGTCCCAGGCTCCCAGGACGCAGGCTCCCGCAGGAACAGCAGAGATGTCCAGGACTCAGATCCAAGTCTTGATGAGGAACTCGATCGAGTCAAGCTGAGTTAATGGAGCTGGGCGTGGCCAAAGAGGCCTGGCCAGAGAAGCAGCACTCCCTAGCTCTGGCTCTAGCCTCTTTGCTAAGAATTTGGTTATTATTTTTTTATTTGAACTTTAATCATGTAATAAACTGGCCAGTGGTAAACCAGAAACTGTCCTCTCTGATTGGGAAATGAAGTTGAGAAAGTCATGATTGTTTTCCTTGGACGTTCACCCCCATCCTCTAGTCTAGGGGTGTCGAACTCAATCAGAGAAGGGGCCAAAATCTAAAATCCAGCCTAAATCGCGGGCCGAATGGTTTACTGAACAGTCATAAACTGTCATTGTGATGGAAACGCAGAGGAGTGCAGTGATGACAGCGCAGCGCGGGCCACATTGCAAGGTCTGGCGGGACGGATTTGGCCCGCGGGCCTTGTGTTTGACACGTGTGCGTTAGTCCTTTCGGGTCTTGGAAGCTATCCTCTGTGAGCAAGGATGAATCTGATACAATAGAAAATCGCCCTTCTGTTTTCAGCAGGAGCTGTGGGATCGGGTGGAAGGATTAAGCCACATGTTAACTGAACTGCCAGTTGGGAGTATAGTTCCTTCCTGCCAAGGGTTAGGCTGTGAATTTGAGCAGGTGTTTGGGGGGATTTTTGATGGCAAAGAGCATTGCTCTGGCAGGGTAGTACTGCTGAATGCGTAAAGGGCCTTCAGGGAGGTGGCACTTACTCAGGTATTCAGAAACGTTTAATGCTATCTACAACGGGCCAAGCTCAGTGCTAGACATGGTTTACAAAAACAACAGACTCGGCAGCCCCTGGTTTCACAATTCCAGGTCAGGGAGAAGAGACAGACAGGAAAGCAGACAGAGATACAAAGCGATAAGGGCTGTCG